AAGCGCCAAACTAATCTCAAATCGAATTCGACATCTGCTTATCAACTTTTTTCGTTTTTTCCCCCTGTTTTATTCGGCTTACGGCCTTTATCCGGCCCACCAATAATACCGCACGTCTCAAACTGCCTTTGTCTAGCTCTTGCTCTCTCTTTCTCCTCCTCTGATTTAGATGAGTAGCAATATGGGCAAGAAACTGCGTACTCCCATTCTGGAGACTCCATGTCAGCATCACTCACGGGTTTCTTGCACCCATAACACAGCTTGTGAGTCCCCTGCACGAGCCCGTGCTCAACTGAGACCCGTTTATCAAACACAAAGCACTCTCCCTCCCAAAGGCTTTCTGTCTTTGGAACTTCTTCTAGATATTTCAAGATTCCACCTTGCAGATGATAAACCTACAATAAAGAAAAAACAAAAAGACAAACATATGACTCAAGAATATTCAAAGAAGCCCCATCCAACTTTCATAATAATTAATGGCAGATGGCCCCTTCATATTTGTTTCGAAATGGTTAGGCATCTCTCGGTGATTAGGTCGAACTGAAAGGTAAATTTTTTGCAAGTAGAAGTTTAAGATTTTGATGAACATCATTTGAATTTTCAATGACCAAGATATAACCCAGAAAGAAATCTTTACCTCTTTGAAACCTTTGCTTAGGAGAAAGCTCGATGCTTTCTCACACCGAATTCCACCAGTACAGTACATTGCGATCCGGGGCATCTTCTTTTCCGTTTCCTCAACTTGTTGTCCTGTGATTTGAGCGGAACCAGCTGGCTTGACCTTGTCATTACCTGATTCATTTAATTTGAATCTCTTGTCTACCCATGATGGGAAATCACGAAAAGCAGTTGTACAAGGATCAACCGCTCGCTTAAACTTTCCTATTCTAGTCTCATAATCATTGCGAACGTCGATCACCACCTAAATATTAGAAAACGACAAAATCAAATTTCCACATAAAGAATCTGTCGAAAAGCAAATCGGAGCCTATTTCAAAAGAAAAAGAAAAAAAGAAAAAGAAAATATGATGTCTAATGCACATGAGGAGAAATTAAAAGAAACATTAATGAATTGCAAACAAATAGTTATAACCACTTGACCAAAATATAGTAATGTGTACTGAAGTGGTAGGTGTTGTGAACCTTCGGCCATTTGATATTCACATAGAACATATGACTTTTTCAGGAACCAACTGTGAAGTGTCAAAACTGATATGTGATGTGGTCAACAGCACATAAATGATTTCAAGTTCATTTTGGTGGGTATTTTGCCAAATAGCATTAATAATATTTGCACTTCATTAGGTGATCTACTGTGTCAGGAGTCCAGACGCCCACATAACTGTGCCAAATCCTTACATCTTAGTGGTCTAAAACTTCCAAGAAAGGATTTGCTATGAGTACATAATAAAGTGTACAGAATGGTTTGCTGTTTGCATACACTTATGTAAACATTATGTACACTATATTATGTACACACAGGGATTGTTCTCCAAGAAATTCAAAGAACGCGTATAAGGGTCTTGCAACTAGGCCCTTTTTTTTACAGTCAATTAATGACAGTTCAATCACAATATAGTGTGGCTTCAATTAACCCTCAAAACAAAAGTTCAAATGGCCAAGATTGATCTAAGAATACAAACAAGAAAAAGCTCCTTACAGTGTCCGGATCACTGATCAATTCATTCCACTCCTTGGGGCTTACATACGTCCCAACTCTTTCAATTGGCGACACAGACGGCATCCCAAGAGTCACTATCTGCAAACCACGTTCCAAAAAGCTGCAGCTTCTACTCATATTCCAAACTGAATAAACAAAAAAATAAAAACCCATTTCTCCATATAATAAATCTACCTCTTTTTTCAGCTTGACTCTCACATGGTCCCACCGAAAGGGAGCATCTTCTCCAGCAGCAAGCGGCGTGCTGCTCGTATGCCCAAGGTGGATAGCTTCTTCCTCTGGACTCACTGGCGTCTCTATACGCCTGAGGCCCTTTAACCTTTCGTCCGACTGGATAAAGGAGAGTACTTCTTCTACTGAATCACGGGTCCCACATATGCTCCCATTGATTCCTTCCGGTGCAAGAATGATGCCACCTGAAACACGCTGAGGGAATTGGTTGATGCATTAATCACAGACAAGGCTTTAATGGAGTGATGTGCAATTAACTATGTGAGTGTGTGTGTTTGATGCAGGGTAGAGGGTAAAAGAACAGAAATGCATAGGAATTATCACTCATAATAGCTCATTTCACTTCATAAGTTAGTAACAGTAAATCGTTCATTTCAAGTCCCCAAATTTTGCTTCTTCTTTTAGCAGCGTACATCAATTAACTCCGTCACAACTAATTCAGGCACCTAAATATTTACTATCAACTACAAAACAAGGCTAATTGGAAATCTACCAGCTGTTCACAGAGTTCCTTCAATGGCTTCCGCAACTCAGCATGGTCCGGAAAATCAGCGAACTTGTAAAACGAAACAACCACCAGCAGGGGCTCTACAGTTTCAGCATCGGGGGCATATTGGCCGATCGTAATCGGCTTGCTGGCGGTGCCCAAGCTATTGGCTTGCACGAGACCCCGATAACTGAAACGGGCATCCAAAGAATCTCCAGAAAGAGGATGTTTTGATGGTATTTCTGAAGTGGGTTTGGTCATGGAGGTGCCAACAATGGCGGCAATTGAGGGATTAGGGTTTGGTGAGGCGGTGGAAGAAGATAGCATCCTGAGCGCCGCCACCGAGGATGCTGTTCGTCTGTAGAGGAGAAGAGGATGACGAGGGTGCATAGAAGAAGTATGGGGATTGGGACATTGGATCATTTTCTTCTTTTCAATTTTTCACATAACAAAACAAAGTTCTAAACTAATTGAAGCCCATTTGAGTTGAGTGGCACTCCATACAGAGTTTGTGTGTGCAAAAATTGGTTGTAAGTTACTAAGTTCAATACATATATATTACAGAACTTTTTGTTTAGTTGCGTAGAGAAAGTGCAATTTTCTACAATATTGAGTTTTGCAAATAGTTAGTTTTACATGTAGTTTTATAATAAGTATGACAAAGAATCATTATTTGGTTGGTATATTTAGTCGGGATATGCTCGATCTATCAAAATGAGCCGAGTTAAAGCCTTAACAAATCAAACTAAATTTACAAACAACTTAATTTCATTTAACACCATCCTGCAAAACTAACTAAAAATCATTGACTAGAGTAGTACTTGATAAAGACCTTGTTCATTAGATTGGTCTAGGTGAATGGATGATAGTTGCATTCATTTTGTGTATTATGACAAATTTTTAGCTTGTAAATGAATGGATAATATTAGCATTTTTTTCTTTTCTTTTCTTCTTTNATTTGTAAACAAACATTTATAATCAAGCTGTAGCATTAATCGATCCGTCATTTAATTGTTCCACAAGTATCATTTTAAAATATCTTTTGGATCCAAAATAATTAATTTGAGACAGATGATTAGTTATTAAAACACTTTGGATACACCCTAATTCAATCAATTGATCAAAGCTACTAATTAAATGCCAGTCTACATCTTGGGTTGGGCCCTAGTGAGTATTCCTAAGTTGCAGAGGCCCAGTAAACGGCCCAGATCCATCGCCACCCTTACCCAGTTAGACCCATTCATAATTTTACAAAAATGCTTGTTACTCCCCAGCAGTGACGCACAGCACGCGTCAGAAAAAATGACGTCACCCCGCAAAAGTGGCCCTTTTTCTCTATCCACACCAAGGTTTCTTCCTTCTTCCTTCCTCAAAATTTTCCAACCAATCAAAATCAGTAAGTTTTTTCATTGATTAATAGAAAATCCCCCCAACTTACCATAAAATAACAAAAACCCATATAGAAACCCTTCCCTTTTCCCCCCTTTCCATAAAAAATCTCAACACTTAAAATTAATTATCACCGAAAAAAAATGAAGCAGACAAAAAGGGGTGGGTTTTGGGGCGGTGAGGAGTTTCATGCAAAGAGGGAAAGAGTGGTAATGAAGCTGCTGACCGGCCGAGCGTCGGCGGCGCGGCTTCAGTATCTATTGAGAGGGGAAGGGAGCTGCCCGGACGAGCTCGGGCAGCTTGCTGGGCAGATAGCGAGATCCTTCTCCGAGACGATCTCCGAGATGGGTTCGTGGCTCGGGTCGCTTCCGGCCGCCACCGTTGACTGCGGCGGCAAGAAGGGACCGACGATGGTCAAAGAACGGAGGGGCTGTTACAAGAGGCGGTGAGAATAGCATATAGATATTTTCGTATTATATGTCACGTTTGTTGTGTGTATATATATTGGTGATGTTAATTATTTATTTATTCACTATGCCATTGAATATTTTTAAATGGGGCAAGAAACTTTTTATTTATTATTTTTTGAAAAAAAAAAATAGGAGTATGAAATTCAGCTCTCTCCATGAACAATGGAAGGAAAATTTAATATTATTAGTAGATCTATTTTACTTATTTATCTTGAAATATAGATTATTAGTTGGATCTCAACCTGATCTTGATAATTATTGGAAGGGTTTATATTTGTAGGTTATTGTAGTTAGCAATACATGCTTAGATTTTTTTATTTTTTTATTTTATTATTATTATTATTATTAGTGGTATTTTCGGCTGCTTTTGTTTGTTAATTTATTTATGAGAGAGGTACCAATTTAGTTCGACACTAACTAATTTTTGTATTAATAAGTAATTTACTGGCAATTAATTCATTGTTGGTTGAGACTACATAAATTTATTTCCACAGCCTAATTTGATTCCTTGTGTTATTACTATAGAAAAATTGATTTCTCCTAAACTTTTTACCATGGTTAATTTGGCCACTTGTTTATATATATATATATATATGTGTGTGTGTGTGTGTGTGTTTTTTTTTGTAATTAAATTATAGCATCAACAAAGGAAAATTTTCTGATAAATTAATTACTGCTCTAATTAATTTGCAGGAGGACATCAGATTCATGGATAGAAGAGTCTCCGACAACCGAGGACGGCTTCGCATGGAGGAAATATGGACAAAAAGAAATTATGAATTCTAACTATCCAAGGTAAATTAATCAAAGCAAGTAATTAATCAAATTAATCACTATCATATGGAAATAACTAGTACCCCACAATTCACTTTAACTTAATTAATAATTACTCTTCGAGCTATTTTACTTTTCTACTTACCTACCTAACAATATCTTTATGTATACATATACATACAAGGTTTTTTCACCCAAAAAAACAAAATTATAAGTTAACTGGACAAAAAACAAATAAATAAAAAAGTCGTGAAAACCAATCAAAAGCACGTATTCTCTGAATACGTTTTTTCATGTAATTTTCCTTGAAAAACGTATTCTTTCATTGAAAAACGTTTGTTGAAAATACGTTTTTCAATGAAATCTATAAAGAAAACGTATTTTCAGAATACTAGTTTTTTATTTTGGTCCAGATTTTTTTTTTTTTTTTTTTACATACAAACTCATGAAATTAAACTGGGGACTCGGTATAAATTTGCCTCCTTTCTACTATCTTTCATTTTTATGGTATAGCCTTCACATTCATTCATAAACTCATGGTGCATTATTTTTTGTTAAATACTACAAATACTTAATTGTGTATGCAAAGGTATAGTATTATGTGATAAAATCATAAAATGGACATTCCTCCTCATCCACATATATTCAATCCCCACTAGCTTGGATATATATTAATTACCACATTGAATACACATACATACAAGATTAGTTACACAAAATATCCATGACATTTAGTCTAATTCCAAAAGGAACAAGGAATTGCAATTACACTATATATCAATATTTTTAAGTTGCCTAACCATTAGACGTAAATATTCTTTTCAATAACACACATATTCTCATGATGAACTATTACATTCAAGAAAAATAGCATAAATAGAAGTGTGACATTACATAATCAACATTTATATGTTGATATACTCTTATGTCAACTCGTTTCCATTAATATTCTCGATAATGATTCCTAATTTTAATATTCATCGTCTTGTGTTGTTCCAGATGCTATTACAGGTGTACCCACAAGCACGAGGGTTGCAAAGCCACAAAGCAAGTGCAAATGATCAAAGACGATCCCATCACATATCAAACCACATATTTCAATCGACACATTTGTCGCGAACAATCGAATCAGCATGTCACCGTGTGTTCGGACCCAGTGGACTCCAATCTAATTTGTTTTGACTTGAACAATATTCAACCAAAACAAGATAACCATTCCTTAATTTCAACAGTTATCCCTCAAGTTAAACAAGAAGCTAATAACAAAGATCATCATACCCAAAGTGATGATCAAGATCTCAACTCTGATGAAGTCAAATCGACATTGCAGGATCCATGGCAGGATATAGATTCCGGGCTCGAACCCTTGGGATACAAGCCCGATTGTGGCATGGGTAGCTTGCATGAGCTTGATGAAGAGGTTAATCAGCTTGGTGATATAGATTATTCATGGTATATGGATTGAATATATATATATATATGTCAATCTATATAGTAAATGTTGTGTGTGATATTAGAAACCAAAGCAATTTGTATCTTCCATGCATGATGTATTATATATCTTTGACATGATGCCTTATCAATTGGCCATGTGACTTATAATTGTAAAATTCATATGAAATAAACATAAATTAAGAAGAAACAATATTGGAAATAAACATAAAAAAAACATGTATTTTATTTCTACCAATAAAAAATAGTACATGTAGCGTAATGAATAGTACATGTATCGCTCTATATATTAAAATAATTAATTTTAATATAATACATCAAAATAAAAAATAATTAAAAAGTAAAAATTGAAAAAAAAAATGTAGCGTAATGAATAGTACATGTATCGCTCTATATACAGCGCACGTCGTACTATTCACATCTTTATAATAGTGCTAACATTAGAGTAGTGCAATATTAAAGTAGGTTTTTCGCACTAACTCTAAAGTAAAATTACAATGTATACCAACATTAGACTTGCTCTTGCAGTATAAAATATTGATATATATGCACACCTTGACTAGACAATGGACGAGAAAAATGGACATTATAACTATCCTAATGATATATAATTAATTAAGTATTGTAATGATATAAGTCCACTATATGTATATCCCATTTTATTTTTAAGGGAACCAACAAAGAAGTTTCAGAATTAAAATGAAATAGTTCCTGTTTAGATATATTTGCGTATTATGTTTTTAATTCGCCTAATAGAGTACTTTTTTTTTTTCGGTGCAATCCTAATAGAGTACTTTACTCTTGTTTTGGGGCAACTTGGACTTGATTAAAAGGCATTAATTTTTGCCTACCATGATCTCTTACATGGACTGAGTCGCTAAAATGGATTCCACCAAATTAAATTCATTATTTACTCAGTCTTATTTTTTAACGCAAAATTTAATTAACATATTATCCTGTTTAATTTGGCTATTAGCTAATACTTAATAGCGAATAACTTATAGTAAGTTTGTAATAATTTATTTGACTAGCAGATTTTATTAGCGATTTGTAAATAATTATTTAATAAATAAAAAATTGTATAGTTATTTTGTAAATTTTATATTGACATGTTAATCTATGAATTTATTTTTTTCTCAAAACGCTCACGTGTTGAGTTTTTTTTTTTTCTTTTACAATTAGCATTTTATACTCAAAGAACTAATTAAATATAAGTTAATTATCTAACAATTTAGTTAACGAATTGACAGATAAAACTTCTAAATGATTTTTTTAGTGACAAATTAAATCCACCTCTAACATAAGAAATTACTAATCAAAATTTACAAATATATTACCTAAAATAATTGTTTGACTCATATTGCAAATAGTTACTATGTTACTCAATTTGAAAGAAATTACCGAACAAAATTCACAAAATATTTTTACGTACCTCTAGAAAAACGAAAATCCCACGTACTAGGAATAAATTGTCCATGATATGGCAGAAAAAACCCAAGTTGCACCCATGCCCACCATTTTCGCTTAGTACAATTAATGATTATACTGAAAAAAGGTGCATATACATTACAATGACCCTGTCCATGGTGCAACTTATAATTTATCAGTATTAACGAGCCAAGTTATAGAGATTTATCCTCTGTTTGAGCTTTACCGAATCTCTTCGAATCGAGCCGAGTCACGTCCAACTCGTTAACCAAACGAGCTCTTTACTCAACTTATATATCAAATAAGCTGAGTCGAACTCACAAGCATCTCGTTTCATTTAAAAGTTATATATCCACATGGGCAGTGACACTTTGATTCACATCAACACATGTATATGTCATGGTAAAAGTGGTTTTGGCCTTTTTGGGGATGCCTTGTTTTATTCTATTAGATGGCCAACTGGTCGGGTCGCTGTACCCGGGTCCACGGGGGCTAACCCGTTAATGTTATCAAGTTCCCGAGTAAATTAACTAAATGTGTGGGGCTCTCAATTGTAGCATTATTATATGAGCAAATTGGTGTCGGGAAATGGAGGATGCTATAAAGAACTTCACGCCAACAATAATGCCAGATGCTAGCGTTACAAATATTGATTGCGACCCTAATTTAGATCCACTTTTCCGTACAACAATTTGAACCAATTATTTGTATGTATATTATATATTCAAATCGAATTATTGGTGAAGTTCATTTTGATTCGTAAAAGCTTGAGCCAATTTGTATGTATATTATATACATATTATTCAAATCAAATTATTGGTGAAGCTCATGTTGATTCGTAAAAGCTTGATTTTGGAGCGTTTGTTCTTGTTAAACGAGTGAGATTTGAATAACTAATTTAGCTTGTTTATTGAGCGAGTCAAGCTCCTTTATTTTACTTTTTTTTTATTATTATTATTCATATATTCTAAATGAAATAGTCGAACTGAAATTATTTGTGATTAATGTTTTCATGTTCACGAACAGTTCGTTTAAAATTTTAGATTTATTAAATAAATCAAAAATTTATTAAGCAGCAAGTTAAACGAACCCGGCTCATTTATTAAACGAACTCACACTCGGGCATAATTTACTTGACTCAACTCGTTAACCCCTACACATATGAAGTAAACTCTCAACAATAGTTGTTATTGGAGTCGAATCGAACCGAATACTTTCCATTCGAGCTTATGCTGTAATTAAACAGACCGATTTGTTAATGTTTGTGAAAGATTTGCTGGACTCGTTTAACAAACCCAAAATAGTAGACAATTTGTTTGCAAGCACAATTTATTGTGCATTCCCAAGCATGCTCGGCTTGATGGAGTCAAAACTGCATTTTCTATGGTTTGAAAGCAAAAATTGTAAATTTTATGAAAGTTCGTATGTCAAAAAATTGTTATCCCCAATTAAAATGTGTGGACAATTTTTTTTTATTTCAATTTGTAAGTACCTCTCATAGCCTGCTAAGCCTATATTTCTTATTTGTTGTCCGCATTTAAGTAAAATTTGTCGCCTTTCCCTCCAAAATTCCTATCTACAAATTTAGAAATTTTGGGTGACAATAGAAAGGGCATCAACAAGCTATTGTACGAATCGTTATTGGCATTTGGAAACCCTACCACCTTAATATGTACGATTTGGGACCGTTGGATGTGAAACTGAATCCTATGGCTTGGATTTCTTCATTTCCAGTGGACAGCAAGTCATTATAATAATAATATGACAACATAAGATAAAAGAGGGAAAAAGGGGTTAACTGATCATTCACAATGTNCAATGTTTAATTTTTTATTCTTTTTATTTTAGAATACACAACTTTGATGGGAAAACCCCACAATAAAAATACAAAACACTATTCAAACAATTATTGCCAATTACGAGAAGCTGCCAAAAAATAATAAAATAATAATAAAATAAAGTGAATAATTTAATTATGCAATTAAATCAATTACAAGCCACACAAACACAATGATCAGAATACATCAAACTTTTTTTTTTACCCATCTTCAAAACTTTTCAATTTCCAAAACAAATTAAAATTAACTACACTATAATTAAGTATATATATACTATGCCTGACCACAATTAATCTTGAAAATTAAACCTTTCGATCTGATCCCTAGCTATTAGTTGTCTATTAAATCTTGGACGAAACGAAATTAAATTCCAACATTATTATAAATCAGTCCTTTTTCTCCTCTGAATCCCACTTGTCGTCCATGGCCGAGAAGATCAAGTCCATGCTGTTGCTGCTGCTGCTCCCGGAGTTGAACATCGCGTCCGCCATGTCCGCCACCGCCAGCTGGTAGTCGGGGAACCTTCCGGCGGAGGGTCCGGCGCCGGCGCCGGCGCCGCCGAGGTCGTGGAGGAGCTGCACCGAGAGCCAGTGGGCGGTGGGGAGCGACGGGGGAGGTGGCGGGGCGGCCGTGGCCGGCGGCGGCGGCACTGCGGCGGTGGGGGCGGAGGAGGACACGTGGCAAGTGTGGGAGCAACGGTAGGTGACCTCGAAGGTGAAGGGATCGTCCTCCAGGCGCTGGACCTGTTTTTTGGCCGGGCAGCCGTACAGTTTCTGGTGGGTACACCTGTAATAGCTCCTGTGCGTGCGTGCGTCACAATTTAATTGTTACTATTGTTAAATGTGAAAACTAGTACACAGCCCGTGTGATGCACGGGTACACAATTTTAAAGCTATTTATCCAGGTTTATAATTATATAAATGAATAAAGAAAAATGTACGGGATATATATAGTACGTGATCCGTTTGGAGAATATTATATTATAAGATGCAATATTCAATAAAAGTTTATAATATAGTACGTGATCCGTGCGAAGCACGAGATATATTTATTTGGAGAATATTATATTATAAGATGCAATATTCAATAAAAGTTTATAATACGCAAGAAAATTGTACAATGTTCAAATACCGTGCGAAGCACGAGATATATTTATTTGTTTTATGATTTGATAATATAAACAAATCTATACTTAACTTTGACAAATAAAACAAATAAATACTTTAGTAAGTATTTAATGTATATAATAAATAGGAATATATTTGGTATAATGAAATACCAAATATAATCAAATAAGTCAAAGTGTACATTTTTATTTGGTATTTGATTTTTTTATTATTAAAATTCTTTTATTATACTTACCTTTTTAAAATAAAACAAATAAATAAATCAATTAAATAAATAAAATATTATAATACCAAAATAGTAATGGCATTTAATGCAGTTGACTTTTCTGAATAGCAAATGTAGTAAATAGAATCTCCTTTTATATAAGTATAGATTAGTGTTTAATAATTCTGACATTAAAATCTCTTTTTATATACAAATTCTTGTAGGAGGTAGATTAATAGTTAGGCGGGTCCATACTTGCTTATGTAGGAAATAGCATATTTATATCATCCCATATTGTGCATATGGATTGAAAAAAGTATAGTTGTCTAACTGTTACACTTGACTGATATGACATTTCAATATGAATAAATATTGAAATATAATTGTCTAATCGTTATGTCAGACTAATAGTCGCCTGAGTATATATATCTTTATATGTATACTTATGCAGCATATTTAGTGCTTCTGAGTAGTACTATATGTAGATCTGGATTTCTATCCATGCATAATAAATTTTTAATATTATAAAAACACACTTGACTGACTTAATTACAAATATATTTTAAAAGCCGACATTTTCATATTTGTTATCGTTTTTTCATATATATATATATATATATATATATATATAAAATCAATCATCTGAGTTTCGATTTGATATCCCGAATGCATACAGAAAATAAATAATTACATTTATCTTTATAATAAAAATAAATATGTGTTAATATTATTAAACAATAATATTATCATAAAAGAAATTTATTTATAAACTTATATTTATTATACGATATAAGTTAGATAATTATTATAACATAAGACAAGTAAGTCGTACAAGTGACGACGAGTGTCGTTTTAAATAAAAACAACAATAATTTTTTGAAAAGAAAAATAAATTAAAAAAAAAAGACCTTTCTCTTTATAAATTTAAGTTTAAATTTTTGTACTAGCAACCCGCATAATACACTAGAGTTGTAATCTATACTTATATAATAAGAATTACTCCCTCCTTTTTTTAATAGATGTCGTTTTGCGAAGTTGCACACTAATTAAGAATATATTTTTTTTTTGTCAATAATAACCCTCATTATTTAGGAAATATCATATTTATATCATCTCATATTGTGCATATCGATTGAAAAAAGTATAGTTGTCTAACTGTTACACTTGACTGATATGACATTTCAATATGAATAAGAATTGATAAAATATAATTGTCTAATCGTTAAGTCAGACTAATAGTCGCCTGAGTATATATATCTTTCTATGTATACTTATGCATAATATTTAGTGCTTCTGAGTAGTACTATATGTAGATCTAGATTCCTATCCATGCATAATAAATTTTTAATATTATAAAAACACACTTGACTGACTTAATTACAAATATATTTTAAAAGTCGACATTTTCATATTTGTTATCGTTTTTTCATATATATATATATATATATATATATATATTAAATCAATCATCTGAGTTTCGATTTGATATCCCGAATGCATATAGAAAATAAATAATTACATTTATCTTTATAATAAAAATAAATATCTGTTAATATTATTAAACAATAATATTATCATAAAAGAAATTTATTTATAAACTTATATTTATTATACGATATAAGTTAGATAATTATTATAACATAAGACAAGTAAGTCGTACAAGTGACGACGAGTGTCGTTTTAAATAAAAACAACAATAATTTTTTGAAAAGAAAAATAAATTAAAAAAAAAGACCTTTCTCTTTATAAATTTAAGTTTAAATTTTTGTACTAGCAACCCGCATAATACACTAGAGTTGTAACCTATACTTATATAATAAGAATTAACATTTATCCAAAATAGTAGGGCAAATTATGGTCAATGTCAGATTTGCATTAAATATTTTCCAAAACCGGTAAGTTTTTGTCCTTTTCACATTTCTCATTAATTATGTCCTTTTCACACTTCTCACTAATTATGTCATTTTCACACTTCTCATTAATTATGTCATTTTCACACTACTCATTAATTATGTCCTTTTCACACATCTAATTATGTCATAATTATCATAAATCATTCCATCTGAGCTTTTATTGTTAAAATGTATAGCGATCTGTTATGCCCTTATCCCATTGATATTTCCATGAAGCGTCCTTATCGCGTTCTATTTTTTGGTAACCACTCTATATCAATAACCGGATATTTGGTTAATGATAGCACACGTCTTTATTTCAAGGAGCGGATATTCTTTGACCTTTAATTAATCTGAACTGATTGCCTTGACTTTTCAATTTTTAAAAACTCTTGTTTTAAATATTTCGGCTTAAGATTCGGATTTCATTATAAGTCATCGGATTGTTTGAATGAAAATGAATGAAAAGAACACCAAAAACAGGTAGCCTTATTCATATAACCAATCATAAAATATTAGTTTGTTCACCAAAAGGTTTGTTCACTAATCCTAAAACATTAGTTTGTTCACCAAAAATATTAGTTTGATTTTTAGGGTTTGTCTCTTTTGAAAATATTAGTTTGTGATAATGAAGAGTTACCAAATAATCAAACTCATAATGTTGTGTACAAGGAGTTTTTTAATAATATATGATTGTTACCGATCTTTTTATGATTCAACAATGTTCCTATGTATTTTAATAATTTCAATTTCGATCCTAATGCACGTGAGGTTATATTATTCTTCCAAATTTTACATCCCGTGCATCTCACAGTTTACGTACTAGTAGTTATATAATAATAACTTATAATTATAATTATTCATAAATTATAAAAAGTTACCATAGAGCTCTACTTTTTTTTCATTTATTAATTATCTTCAGCCGCAACTATGGATCGAGGTAAAGCTCGTGCGATTGTACCTTGGACTTTTTCAAACGTGTCTTACAATATTTTCCTCATATTTTATTTTATTTTTTTAAATCAGGTTTAAGCTAAGCATTTAAAACTCATGGGCAATTTTATATATTCACGATTAATTGCTCATCAAATATGTCTGATAATATTTCTTGTCCTTGAAAATTGAAATTGAAAGATTCATCCTTTTCCCCTCGTAACTACTTCTACCTATAGAATATTAGAATCAAGTTTGGTGCACCACGTACGACTTTACCTTTGAATTAAAAATGGTCTCACGATGAAAACGAAAGCGTTTGAGACCCTTTGACGCTTTCAGGTCATGAGACTTGGCCATAACATTTGAAGTTTGAACCATTATTAGTATTACAATGCAAGAATTAAGGAGGAAAATAGGAAATATGCAAATTAAAATATGGTCTATCAATGAAAAACGTGTGCAATTATGAGATGCTTTATATTATAAGAAATGAAAACTTGAAATACATTATTATTAATATTATAGTTAATTAATTTGTACCTTGGATACGTGGACCCAAGAATCTCTTTTTGACCATATTTTCGCCAAGTATAGCCATCTTCAGGAGGAAGATCAAGGTTTCCCATTTGAGGAGCAGGGACTTTCTTCACTATTTTCTGACCTTCATCTTTTCTGATTGGTAATTAATTAAATTAAAGGTTAGTTTCTACACTTATGAGACAATTTTTGTCGAATTAATTACGTTGCAAGAATATTCGATTGAGTCACGCGTAAGCATTATGATATGCATGAAACACATGGTAAAAATGGTGTTAGCAGACCTAATGGTAAGACACTCATTAAGTAAACCAAATTGTCAAACTTGAAAAATAATATAAACAAAAGTGTGACATTTTTTTTTTTTTTTATAAAGTACGAGTGCTACGCAGATGTTAAATGCATGCATTGATGATAATAATGTTAAAGAGAGAAGATCTAAAACTAAATGATTGAAACCCTGAAAAACTCTGTCTATCAAGAATTTGCATGCTGTAATTAAAGCTAAGATGATGGTATTGAGATGGAGAATAAGCTGCCATATGGAATATAAGGACATAAGTAGAAAGAACAGGATGAAGAAGATTAGCTAATTGATTTTATTTTGCACACTAATCTTCAGAAATTGTACACATTAACAGGAAATCTTTATAAATAGGGAGACCCACACGAACATGCATAGATTATAGATAACAAACACTACATATGATATATTTGGCTGGTAGGGGCTGCCTAGCTAGCTCTCAATTCCAAATTTGAACCTACATAAATGCACACTTTATTGATGAATTTTTGGAATTTTTAAATCTCATTTTGACTTTTTAAGACAGTATTTTTTTTTATATATAAAATAGTCCCACCAAACAAATGAAATTGAAACTTCTTGGTTAGAACTTGGAAGCCATGGAAAAGTAAATGCAGACACACGAAGCACGCAATATTCACAAACAATA